ATAATTTGTTATGATCCACATAGTCAAATGCCTTTGCATAGTCAATAAAACACAGGTAAACATCTTTCTGGTATTTTCTGCTTTCAGCCAGGATCCATCTGACATCAGCAATGATATTCCTGGTTCCACGTCCTCTTCTGAATCTGGCCCGAATTTCGGCAGTTCCCTGTTGACATACTGCTGCAGCCGCTTTTGAATGATCTTCAGCAAAATTTTACTTGTGTGTGATATTAATGATTTTGCTCGATAACTTCCGCATTCGGTTGGATCACCTTTCTTGGGAATAGGCATAAATATGGATCTTTTCCAGTTGGTTGGCCAGGTAGCTGTCTTCCAGATTTCTCGGCATAGATGAGTGAGCACTTCCAGCGCTGAATCCGTTTGTTGAAACATCTCAACTGATATTCCGTCGTCTTTTGAGTGCCTTCCAACCTGGAAGGCTCATCTTCCGGCACTATAGCAATGTTCCACTGCTATTCATAAGGTTTTCACTGGCTAATTCTTTTCAGAAGCAGACTGCTGGGCCCTTCTTCCTAGTCTGTCTTAGTTGGGAAGCTCAGCTGAAACCTGTCCGCCAGGGATGACCCTGCTGGTATCTGAATACCAGTGGCATAGCTTCCAGCATCACAGCAACACATAAGCCCCCACCGCACAACAAACTGATATGCAGGGGTTACCAATTATTACAATGATATTATTTAGAAAATGCACGATCATTTACAAAAAACCCTTTTAACAACCCAGTGCTTGGATGGCTTACAGTGTTCAAACTCCCAGATAAACATTCTTCTATTGTACTGCCTGTGTTAACTGTGTCTGATCTTGCCATCTAGCTCAGTGTCTTCCAAGCAACAGGCACTGAATAAATGTTTATTGATTAAAATCTTCTAGAACTAGGGAAGCAAGAGAGAGACTACCTAGTACTAACAGTTGATCGGGACAGAATTTCCATCTTTAGAGAGACAGTGGAACCTGATGACTAAAAGGATATGAGAAGAACACAACCAACCCCAAGGTTTCAAACTTGGGTGACTGAGAAAAATGTCACCACTAGCAAAAACAAGGGTGGTGTGAAGATAAATCAGTTTTAGGGCAAGATATGGGCATGGTTTTTAGACATGGATAGAGGTGAAAGGACATCTGAGGGGAAAAGACCATATTAAAGCAGCTACCCAATACTATTTTTTTCCATAAGCCCTGTTTAATTCCTAAGAAAATTACAGTGAGAGTCAATATGTTATTCTGTGCTCTGATTCCAGTTCATTAAACCTTCACATTTCCCAAATCATATTCAACAGTTCTATTATAACTGAATTTTAATGAATGGAGATTCAAAAAGTAATTTAAAAATTATTTAATACACAAAGTGAAAAACTGTCTAGAATACAAAAGCATTTCACATTTTTTTTTAAACAATACCTTCTAAATTACTTAACAGATGTAGAGATCTACAGTCCTTTATCTGAAACCCTTCAGGCCAGATGTTTCAGAATTCTGAAATTTTCAGGTTTTAGAAAGGTAATTCAGTGCATATACCATAGCATACCATACCACACCGTATACTACATAACCCCCCAGCAGGGTCTGAGGCAGCACCCCTAATAATCAAAAACATTAATATTTCTGCAGCAAAATAAATGAATATTCACACTAAATGGGATAATAAGATTCAATGTCAGTTCAGATTAGATTTGCAAGCAAATGAGGTGTCAAAAAGCTTAGGAAAAACCTTTAGTTTTCAAAGCTTTTTGGATTTTGGAATTACAGATAAAGAAGTGTAGACCTTTATAAACTTGTATGACATGACATGAAAGATTCTTTAAACAAATGACCCATTTTTACAAATGAAAAAACAGATAAGCTTTCAAATTCATTATAAATTAACAGGTGTCTTCTCTGACATTATTAAATGTACATCTTAAATACATATACACACATAGCACACTTCTTAACACAATTTACAAGCCAGCTGGTATTAAAGGCACAGATGCAGAATCCTTACTGTAGGAAAGGAACACTGCCAAATGTGCAGTAAAATTGAAAATGGGATTAAGCCAACTCCTTCTGATGCCAGGAAGAACACTTGTTGAGTGCAACACAAGGAGGTAGAATTTATTCTCCAAGAAGTCCAATTTTACTTACGAGCAGTCTCCTCCACAGAAACACAGGCAAACTCTTACTTACAATGCATACAGAGGTTCTCCTCTCTGTATACACAACCACTTTTGGCCTTAAGTGCCCATAAGTTAAAACTTTAAAAGCTATTTTAAAATAAGTAATCTTTATACCAAGTTTGAAGACAACTGGATCACAATGATACTCTTAAGTAGTTCTAGTTATTTAAATAAACCCACTGACTTTTTATGAAACCTTATCTGTTCAGAGGTTAAAATTACTCAAAACCAAAACATTGTGCTTGTAAAATCATGAATAGCTTCTTATCACAGCCATTTCTTCCATTGACTGGTGTCTGAAGAATAGTTTCATGGGGTAAAAACTAATTCCAACACGTGCAGAGACAACTTCTGTAGGTTTGGGGCAGTAAACAAGTGGCAAGTCATTCTGCTAACCAACTCCAGTCAAGACTCTAAAACCAGGCATGAAAAAAGTTACAGTAAGATGATGAATTAAGTGACAAGAATATAGGTGTTCATTCTTGGAAGTTTTCTGTACGCTTGCACATTTTATAACGAAAAGTTGAAAAATCAAAAATATAAATGTTACAGTTAGAGTTCAGTTCACCTTATTTTCTGTTTATTTAAAAATATTTTAAAGAGTTTTTATAAATATTTGAAGTAAATAATTATTCTTAATGAAAGAGGAAATACAAAGAGTTAACACTGAGACCAAATTTAGTAAAAGTTATTTCAATGAGCATTTATTATAGTTTCTCTAAGTTCTAACAAATCAATAGTTCATAGTAACCAAATCTTAGTATCAGCACTTCTATCAATTACAACTATATTAACATTACTCATTTTACATGCAGCAGTTACTATATTTGAATTATAGAAAAATCCCACCCTTTCTTATTGGAGAAAATAGATTGCTAAAGCAAAAAGGTGCAAAACATTCAACTTCATTGGTCACCTAGCAAAGAAAGCTCACCACTCATTTAATTTGACCAAAAATGCTACTGTTCAAGATTACTGATGACATAATCCTAGTATGTTCTTGGGTAACAGACAATGGGGATTTGAGGTCCAGGATATTTCTTAAATGCTCTTTCCTCTGATTACTTCTATTCCCCGTATGCATCCCGAATGCCAGATAAGGCTAGCATGGAAAGTTAAACCCTTTGCACTCAACATACCTAAAACACACTCATATCCACACAAAACTTACCATCATACTACCGCCCCGTTCCTCATTTGCTTCACGAATAATAGTGCTTAAATGGCCAAGACAATTCAAATTTTCTTCTATCATTTGTGCTAAAGTCTCCCTGTAGGATGAAAGATCAAAGCCTTTTCAAATTCAGCAAAGGGGCATATGGATTTCCTCTACCTCTGGTCTTCCGGGCCAGGGTGATCACTGCCCTTCCTGCAATCTAGCACCCCAGTGCAGGTGACTCTTAACAGTCTTCCATTTCCTCATCACCACCACTGCCCTGCCCCAAGGCAGAGACTGCTTACTACTTCGAGCGGCTGCCTCTGCCCAGCTCTAATGATAAGAAGTCCACTGTAACTCCAATCTGATTTGCCACTAAAATCTAAGCGGTGCACTTATATACAACCTTCATTTCCCCTAGAAAATGCTGACTGGGGAAGAAAAGAAAAAAAAGATCCTTGTGGCACAGACAGATGAAAGACCTCTTTTTGTTTCTGGAATATTTCCATTCCCTTACAGTTGTGAAGAAACCAGCATGCTTACTTCACAGACACAAATGTTAGTGAAGATACAAAAATACAGTCTGTTATGCAGAGATCAGGGAAGGTAAAAAAAACTCTGGTTGGAAACTTTAGGTTGTAGCAACAAGGAAAACAAGCAAGCTGATTCCTGAGAATAGCAGAAGAAAACAGTGTGACAGGGGAGCTGCCCAGAGCCAAGAAGTATCTTTGGAAGTGTATATTTGACAGGAGACCCTGATTCTGGTTCCTCTCCTCCATGCTATCCTCTTCCATATGTCCTCTATCTTCTTCCTTTACAAATTCTCAGTGTCTACTAGAATTAGTTGTCGGCCATGGATGGTAACCACTATTAGCTTAGAACTAAATTCTGTTTCAGCTCTGACTCAACAGATGGAAAAAATGAGGCCAACAGTTTCCAATCCTTCCTAGTGATGAAGTACCATAGGTACATTATAATTGAAATCAATTTTGTTTTATAATGTAGTCCTACTAGAAAATATATTTAAAATTCTTATCAGATATACTTTTGCAAACAACCACACCTCAATTGGAAATTACTTGTATAGAGGTGACATTTGCAACCATAGCATTCCCTAACAAACCTAAATGCCTTTAATGAAAGCAAGAAAGGTTAATTATGTATTAAATTTTATTTACTTCAATTCTGATTAATGGAATGTTTCCTAAGGTCTGTATAATCAGTTATTGCCTATGCTATAGCTGTAGATGTATTATATTGGGCCAAATCTATAATGACCCCAAGACATACCCTGGAACTTGCTTTCATTAAAAAAATAAAATACCTGATAACAGCTTGCCTTCCTGCCATGTGCTTTTCTCTCATAAAAGTAGAGTACAGAATGTACAACTGCATGACCTCCTGAGCAGTGATGTAACATGGCTGCACTTCTGCAAAACTAATTATGGGCAGAGCTTCCAGGAAATGCTGGTGCTGAAGAGGTCTCCATGAGTTGTGAGAAAAGCGACAAGGCACAAGCTAGCAAAGAGCCACTGGCTCTGGATACGCCACATCTTATGCTGAGAAAATAACAGAAATGGACAGTTTTTAGCAAAAGAATAGGAATTAATAAAACACAGGGCTTCAAACTTGAGTTCTTATTTGCAAAACTGACTTAAGGCATTGAGGAAAAGTCTGACTGTAGAAATACTGAGTTATAAGTTGAGTAGACTTAACTCAATTTGTTAGAGGGGTAATTAAGGACCTCAAAATGATAAATATAAAAAGATAGCATAATTTCTCATAGAGATAAATGGTTAAGAAAGAAATAATGTTTGGGTAAAAGAAATTGCTAAGCCAATAACAGAGAAAGACCTTAGAACTTGGATTGACCTGGTAATAATAAATGCTCCATATTTACTTCTGAAGCACTTTACATATATTATCTCATCAAATTTTCATGTAAGTTTTATGAGACATGCCCATTTTACAGATGAGGAAATGAGAACATTAAAAAAGTCAAGTAAATTGCCCAAAGTTATTTACAAAGGGATGGTCAGGACTCAAACCATGGTCTATAAGGCACTGAAGACTATGCCTTAACCATTATGCCAACTGCCTCATTCCTACTACTACTCTAGAAAACACAACTACCTATTGTTACAAAGTGAACCCACCCATCTTGAGGAGTTACCACGCATGACAGAGGATGTTCACGTTCTGCTGAAGTTGGGGGCAGCCATGCTGATGCCTGCGGGGTTACTGCACCTTCTAGACTGGATCCTACAAGAGACCGGGCAGAACTCTGTGTCTGCAGGAAAAAGTAAAACAAAAAGATTACAGGCAAGCATCTCTGTTGAGTCACACAATTTCCTACCACACCCGTAAGTCTTACATTTTAATCACTACTTATATGCACAACCAGAGTATTTCTGTACAAAACTATACTCACCTTTATACACCAGTATTAACCATCCCGTCCTTCAGGATAGTTACTAAAACCCAGGTGTATCTACCCTTCTAATTCCACTTTGGTTAGAGGAAAGAAAGAAAAAAAAAAACCCAGTAGAACAAAGGGTTGGTTCCATTAACCATTCAGACAAATCTACCTGCAAGTTGAGTTGGGATACCACAGTGGTCCAGGGCTGGGAGGAGTATAAAAATAGACCGGAAAGGAGAGTGATAATGAAGGATGATCATAAAGTCCTGCATCTCAACTGCTAGTCAGACATCAGGCAGGGAATCTGAACATCAACCCAACACAAAGTACAAATGTCTTCCAAAGGACTCAGATCATGCTGATAAATCCCTCTTGCAGGGAATAACAGCAAATTTGTGTCACATTAACAGATTCGTTAATCATTACTTACACAGGCAATTTTAAGGAGATGCCATATTTCTTTCTGCCTCTTTCCCTGCATAAACATGACCGTATTGTCGGCTTCTTTGATGTTACTGAGGGCCACTTCCACCTTGGGGAGTAGATCGATAATCTTCTGCTTACAGCCTAATAACTTGCTGAAAAGATTAAATCAATGTCAGATACTTACACATCTCCCAAGAACGTACACCATTCTCCCAAATCCAGCTGGGAAATGAACCACAGTCAGCATCAGATTTAATGACTGACCTCCGAAGCAATGCACACAACAGGACACATAAATAAATACATGCAGTTGTGGCCAAACTACCCAAGGCACTGCCAGAACTTGTCTTAAGTCTGGTATATTTACCAAAGAGGGTATTAAACTTTGAAAGGAACAGGATAAAGGTAACCTGGCTTTTCAATAGGAAATGAAACAGTTTTTCTACCTCAGATGACCAAACAGCTCCTTGAGAACACGGTCCTGACTCTGCACAGTGTGCACAATGATCTTCACCATCTCCGTGCTGTCGCTGTAGGAGTGATCTATAAAAGACCCCGGTCAGTGGGTATAACCTCTCTTCTGCATGCAAATATCAACCTCCAAAAAAAAGTCCTCAAAATCTGAAACTAGTTTTAACTTAAGGTCTCTAGGTAGTGTAAACAATTTATGCTCAACTACTAACTTAAAGGTTGGTGGTTCAAATCCACTCATTGGCTCCATGGAAGAAAAGACCTGGTGATCTGCTTCGGATACAGCCAAGATGACAGCCCAGAAAAACCTACAGAGCAGTTCTACTCTGTAACACGGGAGGTCACCATGAGTTGGAATAGACTCAACGGCACACAATAACAATAGTTTTAACTTATAAACATTTTCATTTAAATTCAAAATTGAATTAAGATAAAAGATTTAAGATTTTTGTATCTAACTACACATAAAATATAATAATGTCCACACATAAAATTACAGATCTATGAGTAAAATTGTTTTCACTGCCTTGAAGGAGGCCCTTGCCCCAACAGGGCTGATTTGAATTTCATGTTTATCCATCCGTTTATAACCCATGAAAACACTGAAAAAACCTGACTGACTTAAATCAAATCTGATGCACTGACAAAGGGGCTGACAGACACCTCTGAAGTTCAGGATGAGGGTAGTACGCCATCTTAAAGCAAACTGGCAGCTGACACATATCTTCAAATGGGACGGCTGTGTGGTCACAGAAAGTGAGTTCTACAGTTTAGAGCAGATGCTACCTCAGGGAAAAAAAAAATTACTAGCATTAACGCTTATATTTCAGAAATGGCTACTTAAATTTTAAAACATTTGAAGGTTGCTCATGGATCCTGTTGGTATATTCCCTGGACAATAATTAATCCTGAGTATAAAATTAATATTATTAATATTTGCTATCACCTGCTTACTATTTTCTTGTTTAAAAGTCCTATGGAATGGCTGCTTAAGTATCTGACACTTTTGTTACTCCCGTTTTATCAAAAAGGAAACTATGAAAGGAGTATCAAAGGAGGTTTTAAAATAAGTTCAGTGTCCTTAGTCATCACTCCAAAGACCTCCCTCATAGCCCAACTTTATTCCCCATGCATCTCTCTCCATCTCTCCCTTACCAACAAGATACAGAAGTTCCAACTAGGAGCCTCTCCAAACAACCAGTTGCTGTCGAGTCGACTCTGACTCACGGCGACCCCATGTGTGTCAGGGTAGAACTGTGCTCCATAGAGTTTTCAATGGTTGTTTTTTCTGAAGTAGATCGCCAGGCCCTTTCTTCTGAGGTGCCTCTGGGTGGACCTGAACTTCCAACCTTTTGGTTAGCAGCCAAGCACATTAACCATTAGCACCACCCAGGGACTCCTCCAAACAACCAAACCAAAACCAAACCCGTTGCTGTCGAGTTGATTCTGACTCACGGCAGCTCCACATGTTACAGAGTAGAACTACTTCATAGGGTTTTCTTGGCTGTAATCTTTATGGAAGCAGTTTGTCAGGCTTTTCTTCTGCAGAGCCCATGTGTGGGTTTGAACCACTAACCTTTAGCTTATTAGCAGCCAATCACCACTTGTGCCACCAAGGGGCCTTCCTCTGAACACCACTTCTTCCCAAATCCCACAGACCAGGCCCAAGAGTTTTCCCATATATCTAGCTCTTTTAAGTGGTCAAAGACTTCAGAACTTCATTCAGCCTTCTCCAATACAGAGGATGAAGAAAGCTGGTTTTCACCATTTTCAGCTGAACAAGACTCAAGTTGACTCTAAGCTAGGAAAAAAACACTGAAGACCATATAGCAAGTGTGATTATTTAAGCCTCAACTATAGACGAAACTTTTGGTATTGCCAGTTTGTCATCCAAGGTGACTATCAGTTCAAAGAAGCTACCTGGATAGCAAATTTATTTCTGTGCCCAATGATATACTGACATAGCTACTGCAAAGTTTTTTATAAAAACAATGCAAACAAATGCTGTCACTGACTCTGGAAAGTGAATGTACCTGAGTCAATGATGTAAAATCCTCATCTGCAATATGATTCATTGGCCAGAAAAGTAGAAGTCATAAATATTGATTAAAGAAACAAAAAAAAATTAGACTTGCTCTTATTTGATACCTTATTGTTAAATGTCAATATTTTACTCTAACCACTGCTTCTCTCAATGAAATCACTATTTTTCACATATCTTCAAATTTTTTGTCTTCTTAGTCTTATTCCACAAGCAAAATCTTAACCCCAGGGCAATCTAACCATTTGCCTTATCAGTTCCTATACCCAAGCCACTAAACGCTGTTGCTATTAGGTGCCGTCGAGTTGGTTCCTACTCATAGCGATCCTATGTACAGTGGAAGGAAACACTGACCTGTCCTGCGTCATCCTCATAATCATCACTATGGTTGAGTCCACTGTTGCAGCCACTGTGTCAATCCATCTCGTTGAGGGGGCTTCCTCTTTTTCACTGACCTTCCGCTTTACCAAGCATGATGCCCTTTCCCAGGGACTGGTCCCTCCTAATCACATGCCCAAAGTAAGTAAGACAAAGTCTCACCATCCTTGCTTCTAAGGAGCATTCTGGCTATACTTCCTCCAGACAGATTTGTTCCTTCTTCTGGCAGTCCGTGGTATATTCAATATTCTTCACCAATACCATATTCAAAGGCATCAATTCTTCTCCAGTCTTTCTTATTCATTGTCCAGTTTTCACATGCATGAGGTGACTGAAAATACCACATGACTTGGGTCAAACGCACCTTAGTCCTCAAAGTTACATCTTTGCTTTTTAACACTTTAAAGATATTTTGCAGCAGATTTGCCCAATGCTATACATCATTTGATTTCTTGATTGCTGCTTCCATGGGTGTTGAATGTGGATCCAAGTAAAATGAAATCCCTGACAACTTCAATATTTTCTCTGTTTATCATGATGTTGCTGATTAATCCAATTGTGAGGATTTTGGTTTTATGTTGAGGTGTAATCCATACTGAAGGCTGTAGTTTTTGATCTTCATCAGTAAGTGCTTCAAGTCTTCGCTGTCAGCAAGAAACGTTGTGTCATCTGCATGTCACAGGTTGTGACTGAGTCTTCCTCCAATACTGATGCAGAGTTCTTCTTTATATAGCCCAGCTTCTTGGATTATTTGCTCAGCATACAGACTGAATAAAGGATACAACCTGATGAACACCTTTTTTGATTTTAAACCATTCAATACCCCCTTGTTCTGTTCAAACAACTGCCTCTTGGTCTATGTACAGGCTTCTCATGAGAACAATTAAGTGTTCTGGAATTCCCATTCTTCACAATGTTATCCATAATTTGTTATGATCCACACAGTCGAATGCCTTTGCATTATCAATAAAACACAGGCAAACATCTTTCTGGTAGTCTCTGCTTTTAGCCAAGATCCATCTGACTTCAGCAATGATATCTCTTGTTCCACACCCTCTTCTGAATCTGGCTTGAATTTCTGACAGTTCCCTGTTGATATACTACTACAACCATTTTTGAATTATCTTCAGCAAAATTTTACTTGCATGTGATATTAATGATATTGTTTGATAATTTCCGCATCCTGTTGGATCACCTTTTTTTGGAATGGGCACAAATATAGATCTCTTCCAGTCAGTTGACCAGGTAGCTGTCTCCCATATTTCTTGGCATAGACGAGTAAGTGCCTCCAGCACTGCATCCGTTTGCTGAAACATCTCAATTGGTACTCCGTGAATTCCTGGAGTCTTGTTTTTTACCAATGCCTTCAGTACAGCTTGGCCTTTTTCCTTCAGTATCATTGGCTCTTTCTTGATCATATGCTGCCTCGAGAAATGGATGAACATCAACCAATTCTTTTTGGTATAATGACTCTGTGTATTCCTTCCATCTTCTTTTGTTGCTTCCTGTGTTGTTCAATATTTTGCCCATAGAATCCTTCAATATTGCAACTCAAGGCTTGAATTTTTTCTTCAGTCTTTCAGCTTGAGAAATGCTGAGTGTGTTCTTCCCTTTTGGTCTTCTAACTCCAGGTCTTTGTACATTTCATTATAATACTTTACTTTGTCTTCTCGAGCCACCCTTCAGCTGTTTTAGCTCTTTTACTTCATCATTTCTTCCATTCACTTTCGTACTCTACGTTCAAGAGCAAGTTTCAGAGTCTCTTCTGACATCCATTTTGATCTTTCTTTCCTATCTTTTTAATGACCTTTTGCTTTCTTCATGTCTGATATCCCTGATGTCATCCCACAACTGGTCTGGTCTTCAGTCATTAGTGTTCAATGTGTCAAATCTATTCTTGAGATGGTCTCTAAATTCAGGTGGGTATACTCAAGGTCGTGCTTTGGCTCTCGTGGACTTGTTTTAATTTTCTTCAGCTTCGATTTGAACTTGCATATGAGCAACTGATGGTCTGTTTTGCAGTCGGCTCCTGGCCTTATTCTGACTGATGATACTGAGCTTCTCCACTATCTACTTCCACAGGTGTAGTCGATTTGATTCCTGTGTATTCCATCTGGTGAGGTCCACATGTATAGTAGCAATTTATGTTGTTGGAAAAGGTATTTCCAATGAATAAGTCATTGGCCTTGCAAAATTCTATCATGTGATCTCCAGCATCATTTCTATCACCAAGGCCATATTTTCCAACTGATCCTGCTTCTTTGTTTCCAACTTTCACATTCCAATCACCGGTAACTATCAATGCATCTTGATTACATGTTTGATCAATTTCAGACAGCAGAAGTTGGTAAAAATCTTCAGTTTCTTTATCTTTGGCCTTAGTGATTGGTGCATAAATTTCAGTAATAGCTGTATTAACTGGTCTTCCTTGTAGGTGTATGGATATTATCCTATCACTGACAGCGCTGTACTTCAGGATAGATCTTGAAATATTCTTTTTGACGATGAATGTGATTCTATTCCTCTTCAATTTTTCATTCCTGACATAGTAGACCATATGATTGTCTGATTCAAAATGGCCAATACCAGTTAATTTCAGCTCACTAATGCCTAGGATATTGATCTTCAAGAATTCCATTTCATTTCTGACAACTTCCAATTTTCCTAGAGTCATACTTCGTGCATTCCATGTTTCAATTATTAATGGATGTTAGCAGCTGTTTCTTCTCAATTTGAGTCATGTTGCATCAGCAAATGAAGGTCCCACAACCTTTACTCTACCAACGTCATTAAGGTCGACTCTATTTTGAGGAGGCAGCTCTTCTCCATTTGTATTTTGAGTGCCTTTCAACCTGAGGGGCTCATCTTCTGGCACTATATCCGACAATGTTACGTTGCTATTTATAAGGTTTTCACTGGCCAATTTTTTTAGAAGTAGATCACCAGGTCCTTCTTCCTTGTCTGTCTTAGTCTGGAAGCTCCACTGAAACTTGTCCACCATGGGTGACCCTGCTGGTATTTGAAATACGGGTGGCATAGCTTCCAGCATCATAGCAACACACAAGACACCACAGTGCAACAAACTGACAGATGAGTGGTGGACTAAACACTACCAAAAAAAAAAAAAATGCTACCATTCAGATTGTTGCCACTACTAATTCACAGATTTGCACTTCTGCTCTGAATTAATACATGTTCTAGGTCAGCAACTTCCTACATTGCATACAGCAGCTTTTTAAAATCTTTAGCACACTCCTCAAATCTACGAGCTCACCACCACTTCCCACTTCAGGGTAGAAGGCCGTAAGGCGGTAAGATCTTCACCTTCCAACCTCTACCACCACAAAAGTATCCGTATCCACATCCATCCTCCTTCAGTGACATCAAAGCTATTTGGGACCTTCCTCTCTACAGGCTTTTGGACCCAAGTATATAAACATGCTCAAGTCTTCCTTCTTAAAGCTGACCTTGATTATACGTATCTTTTCTCTTCTTTCCTTAACTTAACCTCTCATAAAGATTACAGCCTAGAAAACCTTACGGGACAGTTATACTATCATATGGAGTCACTATGAGTCGAAATCAACTCCACGGCACACAACAACCTCTCTTAACCTTAACCTATACTCTTTTCTTAACAGCCAGGCTTCTGAAAGCAAGTCTAGAAAAGCAGTTCTCAAACTTTTTGGTCTCAGGACCCCTTTACACTCAAAAATTCTTGAGAACCCCAAACAATTTTTCAGCAATTAAAACTGAGAAATTGAAAAATATTGATTTATTAATTCATTTTAAAATAACAATAAACCCATTACCTATTAACATTTTTATAACCAAAAAACAAACAAAAATCGGTATTTTCCAAAACAAAATATTTTAATATCTAGCTTAATAGAAGATAGCTGGATTATTAGATCTGCTTCTGTAGTCAATCTGTTCCAGTATATTGTTTTAGCTGAAGTATCTGAAGAAAATCCAGCATCGTATAGATATGTAGTTGGAAAAGGGAGTATTTTAATAGCCTCTTCCAGTAACTGTGGATATTCCTTGATACTACAATTGACAGTTTTTTAAAGGCTAACTATAATGTGGAATCTGAAACCATGCCCACTTCTTCAATGTTAGTGTTCCCTGGGATTCCATCCTTGGCTTTCTTATTCAACCCACTTTTCCAGGATGCTCTCTTGACCCAGCTGCCCTAACAAGAAACTTGGGAGACATCCCATTACCCCTGCCCTAGCCACCTATATTCAATCCATCACCCAACATGATCAGTTCTGCCTCTTAAATATCTCTTCTTGCCTTTACCTTTCTCATCACCCCATAGCCACAGTTCAGGCTCGCTGCCTTAGCTCATGACCCACCCTGTACTAAGCTATATTATTCCAACTGCCTCATAACTGATACCCCTGTCTCTAGCCTAGCCCCATTTTATTATCCACAATGGCAAGAAGGCAGTGTTTCTAAAATGCTAATCTGATCATGCTATTCCCCTGCTTAAAACTCTCTAGGTTTTCTCTGCATCATGATGAAATCCAGGCTCATCATGATTCAGCTCCATCTCTCTCTTTCCCTCTGAAACCCTGTACTCTATACTCCAGTCACACCGAATTTCCTCCTCTAACACATTGAGCTACATGTTCATGTCTTTACATATTATATTTGCATATAGAAAAGTCCACCTCCTTTCACCTGGCTACTCTATTTATCCTTGAAGGCTCATCTCAAATGTCGTTTCCTGCGGGAAATCTCCTCTAACCCCCAGTCAGGGTTAGGTGCCTGTCTTATGTGTACCTCATAACTGTTTGTGGAAATAAACTCAACAAATTCCACTATAATAAAAACCAATGTAGAGAAGATCATCTTATTTGTTAAATACAACTTGCGTGTATGCTATGTTCTTACAAATTTTCAAGTATAAAACTGATGTTAATTATTTATTTATTTTTTTTACTATTTAAATATATATATAGCAAGTTAGGGCATAGACTTCATCTTTTATTTCCTCTGTAACCCTTCAACGCAAATCAATTTCTTAACTAAAGGATAATACCTTGCAGGTGCATAACACTTTTTTGTTTTCAAAGCATTTTCACAAACATCCTTTCAAATACATCGCCACAATACACTCGCTAAATTAGGAAAACTAAATTTCAACCTCATTTCACACAGAGGGAATTGAAATTAGGTGATCTGCCTGAGGTCACCCAGTTAGCAAAATGCCCTATCCAAAATTCAAGCCTTTTGATTCCTAACCTAGTGCCCTTTCCAGCAGACCATGCTCTGCACTCAGCAGGTGCTCAACAGGAATTGTTTTGCTAATGAAACAAGCAATCAGTGACTAGTGCAGATGATGGCATAGTTTTCAAGGTAAAGGGCTTTGGCCTAGCAAATGGGCCTTCCCTCTGACCACATCCACGCCTAAACCCTACAGTATCACATTCTTTCAAACCGCTCTAATCCTGAACGATTCAAAGCATGTATCAGCAGTTATTTTTCTCTTTTCACACATTTTCTTGCTTTCTCTTCCACTTTTGTGAGTTCCCTTTTTTCCTTTGTCCATTTCTTTCTTTTACTTCCCTTTTTGAAACGTTTCCACCTCAAGTTTCTTAATTACCTTTCCTTTCTAATCTCTCATCTCACAAACTTAAAGCTGTTGTACCATAAACGTCCCAATGACCATAATAAAACTTGAATTTATTCTGCAACTTGTTTAAAATCCAACCTCCCATATTTGTTAGGTTAGTGATTGTTGCCTAAAATGCCTTCATGTACAGTGGTAAGTGTCTTACCTGAAGGTCTATGCTTTAACTGCTTATATAGATCGATGGCACGCTGCTCCCTACAAAAGAGAAAACATGCGTCTGTATGTGAAGGTAATTTAATGATTCCAATAATCCACAACTTGAAATGAACGATATTATTTGGACAGAGTAATGATCCCATTTTAAAGCAAGTACATATTGTCAATGAAGATTTTACAAAAGTATTTCATTGAGTAATAAGGAAGAATTATACAAGATTTTAAAATGCAAAGTTGAATGAACTTCATATGTGCTCTGATCTCCCACCACATAAACAGCATCCTTGCACCAGAAACACTTAAATGGGTAAAAATCATGGCCTGTGATTAGAGAAAAAAATCTAAAGTTTCTAATCTAAATGCTTAGGAAGTTAACCTCATTTAGGGCATTTAAGCAGCTCAATGCCTTGGACCAGAAGTATGGTAGGTAGCGAAATAGTTTGTAATTTAGCATACTTGGGAAATTATTTTTAACTCTCCACGTGAAAAGACACCTTGATTAAAAAGGCAAAGAAGGTCAACCCAGAGCATTACTTCCAAAATTTTCTGTGACTAAGAAAAAGCATTCTTTTTAAATAAGATGTCAATATATTTGGGGAAAGGAAATCTATAGAGAAGAACAGTAAGAGGCTTAATCTGCAAGATGCAAGCAGAAAGAACAATCTGCTACAAAAAATTACAGACACCAAGACCAACAACACAAGTACAGCCTTACAGAGATTCCATCAAGTCTCCCTGGCGTCTTCCATAGGGGCTCTTCTGTAGCTCCATGATTTCAGTGTGCAGGGACATGATCTGATCCTCCAGGTATCCAATGACACCAACCTAAGATATGACAAAAACACAAAATAAATTGGCAGGCTCACCACCATGCAACATAAAACAGAACTCAGATTTTAAGGATAGAGAAGGACTTATTGCTATAGTAGCAAGACTAAGAGATTTAATATGAAACAGATTTTGTTAAAGTCTTTTTATACTTCAGATTCTGACCCTTAATCTTTCACATAAGAACATATTCATCCCTATGCTTCCCTCTTTTCTCTCCAGATAAGAGTAAACTACTAGCATTTGCTTTCTCCTCTTGAAAAGCAAAGAGGTAAAGGTGTCACTAACAAGACAGGGAAAAAGATTTCATCACAACCATTGGTATTACTTGCATCTCACCTGTACGAGGAGCCATGGTGGTGCAGTGGTTAAGAGCTATGGCGAGCTACAGCTGCTAACCAAAAGGCCGGCAGTTTGAATCCACCAGCTGCTCCTTGGAAACCCTATGGGGCAGTTCTACTCTGTCCTATAGGGTCGCTATGAGTCAGACTTGACTCCACAGCAACGAGTGTTCAATGTCATGATTTTCACTGCCTCTTATTCCTGATGGCCTTGTAATAAGTACACAGAAAGATAAAGACAATGGATTTCCCACCTCAGCATACCAACTACTCCACTCATGTCCTCAACTTAACCAACAAAAGCAGGGTAAGTGACTGGCATCAAAGACAGCAACAACCTAGTGGGACCACCAACAGACATACAGGGCGAGGAAGGAATCTGCCACCTAAAGAATGATCTGTACGTATGCTGACCATATAATTTATGGTCCAAATCAGTAAAATAGTGAGAATGAAAGAGTACTATTGATAATTACGGCAAGATATCAGGAATAAACTGGAACTGTCCCAGGTACACTGGGATCTGCAGTCACCCTAACTAAACCAGTCATAAAAATTATTGACTCTCATTTAATCCTCATAACCCTGCTAAAAAAGGTATTGTCCCCATAATATAATAAGGAAACTGAAGACCAGCAAGGCTAAGTAATTTCCCCAGCATTCCACTTGAAAGCCCTTGTTCTTATCTACTATGGTAGCTCCCTCCATACATACAAAGCAACTACTAGATATTTATCTGATATTCAGGAATGACGTGAAAAAAAACTATATATACCAAAAGCAAAGGAAATTTCTAAGGTATATCTCAGAAATTAATAAGAATACAGAACGAGCTCAGTGATTTTACCTCAGCATAGTGGATGGCCTTTTCTTCCATTTCTTTCCATGCTTTTAACATTTTTTCTGAGGCTAAAAAAAAGTCCGAATCGGTTACCAGAAATAATCACATCTTTAATCACTGGCCTGCCTACCTCCTCATCATATTAACATCAAAGATTTTCACTTAAAAAAAATTATAAAAGTAATACATAAACATTATTTTTTAAAAAATCAAATACTACAAAAAGTTGTAAAAAGACAGGACTTCCTCTTTTTTCCCTCTCTCCTCTGCCAGAGGGAATCTTACGTTAATCATTTGTTACATAGACACACACCCTTTCCCTCACAAGTGAGACCATGTATACATACTTTTCTTGCCTTGCTTTTTCCCCCCAACTTAAAACATCAGTCATTAAAGATCCAGCTGATGTTTTAATAGCAGCACATATAGACCTACCTCATTCTTTTTTTAACAGTTGCATAGTATGCCTTTGACTAGTCAAAGATACTTAATGACAGAAATAAAACATCAATCATAGAAGCAGCTCTAATGGGTACATCTATCTGCCCAACTGGAAGTTACTGATCTTTTATTCTGAGATACACATACTCTGCTCCAGGCAAGTGTACAAACAGTATTTGTTTCCCCAAAAAAGGATTTGTTTCATGAAATAAAACAGAAATGCTGATGATGACACCTTTAGTTTATTCAATCTTTAACTCTGCTTTTTACATTTCCTTAGTACGTCTGAAGGAAAATAAGCCTGGAGTCAACTACTGAAAATTTGGAGGCTGCATACAATAAAAAGCAGTGGGACTCCACAGTAGGTATTTTGGAAAGAAACAGAAGCTTAGAATTATTTAAGTTATTAGTTACAGAAAGGTAAGTAGTTTAAGACTCCTCTGGCTAAAAAGTCATTCCAGTACAGGCTTTGTATCTATTTAAAAAATGAGGTTTACTATCCAGATTCTTAAATCACTTCTACATTTTTCTGGAGCCAAATAATTTTAGTTCAATTATTAAAAAAAAAAATTTAAAGTTGCTCAATTAAGGGTTAAAAAAAAGTAACACTAACATTGAAGACAAACACGGTTTATGATGATTCGAGTTGTTCTGTCTCTTCTTCCAATGTGATTATCTCAGTAAGTGAAACAACTAGCTATGAGTCAAGAAGGCAAACCAGCAGATGGCTTCAAGAGACTAGAGACCCCAGACCCCTTTCAAACACATTACCCGAATACTTACATATCCCATATGTCATCTGCTCACTGTATCTCTCCAAGTCCAGCTGAATACTTTTGTGAAAAAACTCCAATTTAGCTTTCAGTTGCTGAGATGCTGAGATCAAAGTGTTCTTCATTTTTGTCAAGTTAGCATTATATCTAAGAAGACTTAACCTAAACCATAGCCCCCCCAAAAAAAAAAATCACCATATCAGAAACAAAACATTCAACAAAAATTTAAAAACTTTAAATTGCCATGAGCCCAAAGCCTGAGTTTCTATTATCCATCTGTGAGAAGTAGCTGATGTCTAGAATCCAGTCTCTAAAAACTTCCTGCCTGTGATTAGTCTATGATAAAACAATCTTCGTTTACTAGAACCATTCTACTCTCAAGCCATTGCAACTGGATGGTTTCAGACCATTAGTAAGAATTCTGTAAGCCTGATCAGAACACGCAAACCGGCCCAATTTTTAAATACTGCATGGAATGCGGATTGGTAAAAACACGACACTGTAGTTATAAACAAGAGAATCCGCTTACATTGCTGCTCTTTGTCCCTGAAAGAGTCTGCTGTAGTCTTCTTTTAGCCCAGATACATAATGCACTGCTTCAGCCCATACTTTCCGCAGTTGTATAATTGGTAACTGTATTTTGCTGTCCTGTACTATAATACAAGAAGATGGGAAAAAGGGGAGGGGAGTTACTTTTTAACATCTTAAGTGTTCATTTATTATTTTCTGGGATTTCGGGCCATGCCAAGTAGCATTCCCATAGATGTTGGAAAGAACCACTTGCTACCATTACTGAGCACTTTCAATACACAACCCTGTTCCAGGTACAATGTGGAATCTGCTATTATCTGTCTTTTTGTTCTTGCTTCTCCCCAACCTGGTATACTCTTTTTTTCTCCATCGAACCAAAGTCTTTATTTCTTTCAAGTTCTAAATCAAGTCCCACCTCTACAATCCACCACAGTCTTTCCTGCCTCTAATAATTTTCATCTCCTGGACCCCAACCCAGCTTCAGGAATGCATATAGGGTGAATGGTAGTCTAATAAGATACACTTTCTTTGATGTCAAACTTATGAAATTATGACTATCTCTTGCCTTTTCTTTGAGGAAGGGAATGCTGCTTTTCTAAAACCATGGCAAGTGTGTGATAAGTTCAATGAAATTTCCACTGAACATTATGAAATTCTCCATGATTGAAAGAGATTCAGCCTATACTTTAAGGTGGCCAAGTATATCTTCTACTATTCTTTTCTTAGGAAAATCTTCAGAGAATGGTTAAGTAGAACCCGCCACACTAGTGTTCATATTGCAAAAACACATTATCTGAAGCAGACTTTAAAAAAATAAAGCTATGTATCTAGAAAAAACTCTGCCTCCTCTAATAATTATTACTAGCCTTAATTAAACATTTTCCCATTCTACATACCCACACTTCCTCTTATGGTTTCCTAAAATAGACAGAAAACAAGAATGAAACAAACAAATGAAAAATTCTGGGGGAGGGGGAATTGACAAAAAGGAAAATCAAAACTTTAAAAATAAACTCTGAGAACCTAAAAGAAACAACACCCCAGTAGCAAAGAACACACTTAGAACCCAGATCTTGGTTTCTAATACCATTCTCCTTGGAGAAATGGCTGATTCTAAGACTGGGGCAGGGATACAAATCAGCCTGGAGCATACTGTAGTGCCAGAAAATAAGTGCTAAAAAAACAAACAAAACGCTGCTAAAAAAACAAATAAAACCCTCCACAATACTGATGGGGGGCGGGGTGTGTCAAAAGAGCACAGGAGCCAACTGAAAGAGCTCCCAAAGACCAATGCTGGAACAATTTAAGTGATGAAATAAATATTTGTATTGGATTATAATCCAAAGTATAAAATAAGTATCTGTGAGTTCATACTGATATAAACAAATGATTGAATAAATTAATAAATGGGAAAGAAAGGCCAAATCTCCCATGCAGAAGAAGTCCAAATAAATTATGTAGATACTCTAAACGAAGGGGAACATAACTTCCAACTCCTTAAGTGTAGGCTACACATAGTGAGTTCCTTCCAAAGAGTATAGTATGGAAAGAGGGAGAAAAGACTAACCTGCCTGACAAACACTACCTCAGCCAGGTGATTAAGGACATACCAAGAGTCATAAATCAGACTGATTGTATGTACCCTTGATATAAAGAGCCCTGGTGGCACAATCATTAAGCGCTTGGCTGTTAACCAAAAGGCTGGAGGTTCGAACCCACCAGTGACTCTGCAGAAGACCTGGCGATCGGCTCCTGTAAAGATTTATAGCCTAGGAAATACTATGGGGCAGTTCTACTCTGTCCTATAGGGTCACTACGTGTCAGAATCAATTCAACGGCACACAACAACAACCCTTGATGTGACAAAAATGGTACTTTACCTGTAGATCTTTTTCTCTCAAAAAACCTTAACCTCAGTCTAACCATGAGGGAAAACTAAAAAAAAAAAATCAAATTCCAATAGAGGGTCATCCTACAAAATGTCCTACTCGACAAAACTGTCAAAGTAATCAAAAACAAGGAAAGTCTGAGAAACTGTTACAGCCAACAAGAGTCTAAGAAGACATGACAACTAAATGTAATGTAGCATTCTAGATGGGATCTTGGAATAGAAAAAGGACATTAGGTAAAAACTAAGGAAATCTGAATAAAATATGGACTGTAGTTAACGTATCAATTTTGCTTCATTAACTGTAACAAATGTACCATACTAATGTAAGATGTTAACAACAGGGAAACTGTGGGGGGAGTGGGGGAGGAATATGAGAGTTCTATCTGCTCAATTTTTCTGTAACTCGAAAATTGTTATTCAAAAAAAAGTCTATAATACACCAATGTTCATTGCAGCACTATTCATAATAGTTAAAAGGTAGAAAAGACCCAAATGCCAATCAATAAATGAATGGATAAACAAAATAAATGTGATATATCCATACAATGTAATATTGTTCTACCAAAAAAAGGAATGAAATTCTGATACATGCTATGACATGGATAAAATGAAAATATTATGCTGATTGAAATAAGTCAGCCACAAAAGGACAAATATCATACAATCTCACTTAGATAAACTATCTAGAACAGGTAAATGCATAGAGACCAAAGCTTAACCACGGTTACCAGGGGCAGGGGGAAAGGGGACATTATTGCTTAAGGAGCACTGAGTCTCTACTAACAGTGACGAAAAAATTTGGAAATGGATAGTGGTGATGGTTGCACAACATGGTGAACGTAATTAATGTCACTGAATTGTACATGTATAAAGGTTAAAATAGCAAGTGTTTGTTTTATATCTATCTATCTGTCTATCTATCTGTATATAAAACCAAAACCAAACTTGTTGCCATCGAGTCGATTTCAACTCACAGCGACCCTATAGGACAGAGTAGTATTGCCCCAAAGGGTTTCTAAGGAGCAGCTGGTGGATTTCAACTGCCGACCTTCTGGTTAGCAGCCAAGCTCTTAACCACAGCATCAACAGGGCTCCATATATGTATGTGTGTTTGCGTGTGTGTGTGTGTGTGTGTGTGTGTAAATATATATATACACACACACATATACATACCATAATTTTTTAAAAGTGTATTAATAAACAAATAAATAACTATAGTGTAGGAGAGAGGGAATTGACTGCAAAGAGACATGAAGCAACTTTCTGAGGTGAAGGAAATGTTCTGTATCTTGATTGTGGTGTTGATTACACAGGTATATACATTTGTCAAAAATCATCAAACTATAGATCTGTGCATTTTGCTGTCTGCAAACTACATCTTAATTTTTTAAAATCCAAAAGAAAACCAATAAAAAAAATAACAGAGGGGAAAGATTACATATAATTTATCCCCTACACCCAATATTATTCTGGAAATAACCTGATTTTAGTTTGGCTGAACATAAATTGACCGCTCAACTCCTCCAAAAGAATAGAATAATTCTCACAGGCACAATTAAAACATTTAACATCAAGCAGTATTCACTGGACAAAATGAAATAAATATTTGAACATGCTTCGATAATGGTTTAATTAATAGTAGGGATTCATTCTTCTATCTGTGAGAGCCCTATCCACAGCAAAGTAAGTATTCTCACAAATGAGGGATCTGGTAAAATCTACCTTTCGACCTTCTATTCAATTTTCACCACATACAGAAACCTAAAGTATGAGAGATACAGAACAGAAACACCAAGAGTCCATTCCTACTAATCATGTTAAAGTCAAAATTATATTATTTCAGGTTTAAGCTCAGCAGTAAATGGACTATACTTACCAATATAATTTACACAGTCAGATAAACTTCTGGAAGCAAATGGACCTTCATATACAGTCTTACTTTTATCAAACAAATAAACCATATAGCTATCACAGCCTCTCTGAAAAAGATACAAACAATTAAAATTCTACTCAAAGATCCTTGAAAATGCTAGGTTCTCTAAAGACTTAAGCACTAGATTTCCTACTTTGAAATACAAATGAGCAGAGCAATGTACATTAGCACAACCCTATAGATTTAGGGTGTAAATTTTGTTTAGAAAAAAATAAATAGCTATGGTATGGGCTAAAGTAAAAAACATTACCAGACCCAAACGGACAAAAGCAAAAAGTCATAACCCCATATAGCCACACAATGGGAATACTATTCAGCAATCAAAAGGAATGAAGTACTAATATATGCTAAGACATGGATGAACCTCAAAAACAAAACGCTAAGTGAAAGAAGCCAGACACAAGAGACTACGTATCATATGATTCCATTTATATAAAATGTCCAGAAAAGACAAATCGATAGAGAAAGAAAGTAGATTAAGCAGTGCATGCCTGGGGCGGGTAGAATGGGAATTAACAGTTAATGGACATGAGGGATCATACTGAGGTGATGGAAATATTTTAAAATTGACTTACGGTGACCGTTGTATAACTCGGTAAATTTATTAAAAAATCACTGAACTGTACACTTGAAATGGGTGAATGATATGATATGTAAAACATACCTCAATAAAGTCATAAAAGGAAAAATGAAAAAAAAAAAAAAAAAAAGTCATGACCACAATCACATTTTACCATCCACATATCCTCAGGCAGGACTTAAACTGCTGGTCTGATTTCAAGGTGCTAGGCTTCAAGTAACAGAAGCCCTGGTTGCAAAGTGGTTAAGCGCTCAGCTGCTAACCGAAAGGTTGGCGGTTCAAACCCACCAGCTGCTCCATGGGAGAAGGATATAGCAGTCTGCTTCCGTAAAGATTTACAGCCTTGGAAACCCTATGGGGCAGTTGTACTTTGTCCTACGTGGTCGCTATGAGTCAGAATTGACTTGATGGCAACAGGTTTACGCTTCAAGTACAAGAAGGAGAAGAAAGAGGAAGGATAGATCTGGCACCAATGAGAAAGTCATAGAAAGTTCAAAATGACAATGTTTCATTTCTATCTTGTTCATCTTCCAAAGCAGTGATAAGAGTAATGAGTAGGATACAACTAAAAGAATTATAAGATGTACACCACTCCTCAAGGGACTCAAGTATGTACCAGAAAATGCAGGGTATGCAATCCCTTTATGCAAACAGATTTCTTATACTCTAGGTATATTAGAATTTTCTTACAACTCCATCTAGAACACATTGAGAGGCTGGTTTCCGAGGGTCCAGAGAAATTCCCGTCTCTGAAAGAAGCTCTTGAGAACCAGTATTTATCCCAGTTTCACGCTCAATACGAGACTGTAGTGAATGAAGACTTTCATCAGGTGGCAACAAAAAAGAAATTATCTTTGCAGAAGTCATATTTAGGATGTGTACTATCTGTATAAATAAGTAAAAAGATAAAGGATTATTGATCACTTGCTATATGAAAGATTCAGTGCTAAACACTAAAAGCGGAATCTGAGCAAAAGGCATTCTCTCTGCACTAAACAAGGTTCAACATTCTCCAGAGTGAGATCTCCTTTTATAACTATACAATGACACTCTGAAAACTGAACAGCAGAGTTTAATTTTCTACAACAGAGGTTAATGTCAGCAAATAAAAATTTCAAAGTTCTAGGGATGCAACAAAATTAAGAAATAAAGAGGCAATAAAATTCAAAAAAGCAGTAATTTATTCTAAGAAACAAATCTTCATGTTCCCACTTATAAAGTATCTAATAAATGCATAAGATTTTGCATAACATCCCTGTCAATTAATCTTCTAATCTCCATTCTGGAATGAGGGAGAAACCCAGGCTGTAAGAAGTTAAATAGCTTGTTTGGTATCACACAGCAGATAACTGGTAGAGCTTGGCTCTAAACTCATATCTGACTGCCCCATGGTGCTTCAATAAATAATCCTCTGACAGAGGCACTAGGCCTCTCCTTAAACAAGAAAAGCACTGTTATCCTCATTTTTCAAATAACTCAACCACATCTCAGAGCAGTTAAGTGACCTGCCTAAGGGCCCAAAGTTAGATAAGAAAGCTATCTCACTGCTCTCAACTAAAGCCTCAGTAAAAGTAGTCTGATGAAGCCAAACGAGCGTGAGGCTGAGTCAGGAAGGGCTCTATCCAAGTAACCAAGGACAGCCACGGAGCTGAAGGTCAGTCTTTTGAACACAATATGATTTTAAATTCTCTTCCCTTGTCCTTGGATAAGCCATGCAAATTAATACCTCAGTTTCTCCATACCTTACAGCTAAATAATACATAAAAATGATTAAAATTATCTCTGTTCAAAATGCTTACAGAGGTAAGGCATTAATCCAAGGCCACTATTATTTCTACTTACAAATCCTGGCATAAATGCTCAAATAACGGGTGTTACAGGAATACTAAATTGTATTGCTAAACTGAAATTAATCCTGTTTTCATGTAAACTCCAAATGTCACAACACGATTGCCACTATTTCTCCTAGCAGACTATAGGAGGCTCTCCTTTAATATGTAATAACCTTTTATGTTTAAAAAGGCGGGAGGGGCAGGGAAAGCATCTTCAAAACTGACATGGGGTTACAACACACGTAAATCATCTAAGACCTTGCATGCCTTCCCAGCCTAGGCAGACTTCACACTATGACAGCTGCCACTGACAGCAATAGCAGAATCTTAGGATGAAAATCTGTGGTGGACCTTTACTTTTACACAGGATATGTTAAGCTAGGTTAAGTGATCATGGCGCCCCACTCACCAAAGCTCTGAGCCTTAAAGGAAATAAAAGAAAGGGAGAGGAAATACATCTCAAATGTATCCATTTCTTCACTCAAATATTTGTACAGGAGAATAAAAAGCCATTTCAGAAGATGAGGTGGGCAGTTCATGCTGCATGGACTACCGAGAGGGAAGTAAGTATGGAGGCATAAAAGCTGAGTAGGAACCTTCCTCACCAAATCAAGTCTAATACGATTAGACCTAAATGAGTGAGGTGATTATGGAAAATCTAAAAGTTGCTTCAAAGGAGTAATCAACAAAGACCGCTTACAAGCAGAACTAGGGAGAAGGCTTGTTAAAGAAATAAAAAGCACCAGCTCTATAAATATCATTTTCTTTTTAAATATACATCAGGGAAAGATTATTAAAATATATTTATGCTAATTTTCAAAATAAATTTTAACTTCAATGCAGGTCTCAGAAAGTAGACCCCATTAAAACTAACCTTCAAATTCAGAATGTGATCCATTAATATGAAACATCTTGGCTGCTTTGAAACAAGATCAACAGGTCCCCCTCTCTGCTGAGGATCCCAATTCAGCATCAACTGCAGCCAATTCTCCATGGATTCTACTATTAAACTAAAGAATGTACAAAAATAGGGTAAAAATCATATTCAGATGTTCTAATTTTCCTTTAGTATTACAAAAACGGTAATTTTATTGGTTGTCCACTTTCTTTCCCCCTACCTGTCTGTACCATTTTATATCTTATTTTCAAATAGTTAATGGAATAATAGGGGACAAACTTTTTCCATAAAAAACAACAACAACAAAAATAGATATTTAAGTTAGTTTATGGCAACTCCAACAGATGGGTCCAGTTCCATTCTACAAGAACTCACCCATTTACTTCATTATCCCAAGAATCTTAGCACATAAGCCAATCAGTTGGACAGCAGCAGCTCTTATTTCCACTAGACCTGTGCTATCCAATATAGTAGTCACTGTATCTACATCTCAGGAGCCCTGGTGGCACAGTGGTCAAAGCACTCGACTGCTAACCGAAAGGTTGGCGGTTCGAAATCACCAGCCAGTCCACCGAAGAAAGTGTGTCAGTCTGCTTCCATAAAGATTTACAGCCTTGGAAACTCTGTCAGGTCACTTTGAGTCGGAATCAACTTGATGCCAATGGGTTTTTTCCTTTTTTTTGGGTGGGGGGGTTATAGCTACCTTTACATTTAAATTAATTAAAAGTAAATAAAATTTAAAATTCAGTTCTCAGCCATGCTAGCCACCTCTCAAATGCTCATAGCCTCATATGGCTAGCAGAGATATCGAATATTTCCATTATCACAGAAAGTTCTACTGACGATGTTACTGGAGGCAGACAACTACTCTACTGTTCTCTTACAACCCTGGAGAAACTGAGGCAAAATTCCTCAACTAAAACACACTTACCTACAAAGGCTATTTGGCTGAGGTAAATGGCTACTGAACCGAACTTCTCCAGTCATCTCTTCACACGCAAATATACACTTTGGATCCTTCTTCTTAATCTTCTCATGCCTATAAAACAAAAGCTACCTCAGCTGACAACCTGATTCTGACACTCTTAAGATTTCTTGCCATTTAATTTTATTTAATTTTGTGTTTAAAAAAGACAATTATAACAAATTAGAGAGGAAAAAAAAATTCCATTCCTATTAAGCACGCCAAATTTTTCTTCCATTTCTTACCAGGTAAATGGCTGCAGATGATGCAAAAAAGGCCTATATCCAGCAATACATTCAAACACCATGGTCCCAAAGCTCCAATAATCAACAGTGGCTGTGTAAGGCTTATTCTCAAAAAGCTCTGGGGCCTTAAAAAGAGAAAATGCTTTAAAAAACAACAGTATATGAAAAAGACTACTTCATTTTTGACTACTATATTCATGGCCATCAAAAATAAGAATAACAATCTTACACACTTAAATTCCAAGAAACAATACATGTCTCACCAGATACTGCAGTGTTCCCACAAAAGATGTACACAAACTTCCTTGATCAACGTCTTTGGCATATCCCAAATCAATTATTTTATGCAATATCTGCAAAATAATAAGACAAAGTATGTTTTAAATGGTTAAGAAATCTGAAAACAAAAGACTGTAGAGAGGATGGTGGTGAAGAGTTTGGGCTCTGGAATAACAAACATGTTTCAATCATGAGCTCCACATCTTACTAGCCTTGTGATCTTGATCAAGTTACTTATCCTGTTTCCTATATAACTACTAACAGTACCTACATAATTACTAACAGTACCTACTTCACAGAATTATTAGTAGGATTCAATGAAAAAGTGACGGTGAAGAACAGTGCCTGGCACATGGTAAAGATTAAATATAGATTGGCTATTGATTTTTATTTTAGTATAGTCAAAATACGCTTGACCCATTAAACTGAAAAACAGAGGGAAGAGTAACCTCCAAACTTGAAGAACCATCTTAGAGCGGATCAAATGTGAGTAAGCACCTACCTAACTTCATTTTAAGAGTATCCTGAAATCTCTGGATAGAAAGAAAGCAGAGATAGTTGGTGCCAAAAATAAATGAAAGGTTCCTAAGAGAAGCATCACCAAAGTTTCATTACTTCCAACTGCCCACCATATTCACTAACTAAAGAGTCAGCCAGTTCAATTCAAGGTTAAGACAAACCAACTCAAGGTTAAGACTCTTGGCTTTAAGTCTTTATTGGAACGGAACTTGAATGCAAGAAGCAAGAAAAATGCTCAAATTGTTCTGATAAAAACGAACATTTAAGGAGTCAATTCACAATTTCTGGTTATTTTCAAGATGATTTATTTAGGAATCTGAGAAATCAAGGTTTTAAATTTTAATTAAATACAGAAGTCAGCACTTTTGGGGAGGAAAATTATTTAAACAAAAACATACATTTTCTTCTTAAAGTAAAGCTGACTCATGAGTGTGTGTATGTGTTTGGATGTATTTCATAAGAACAAAATAGCAAGGATTAACAAATTACTTACTCACTACCTACTATCTATGCTAGATACAATGCTGGAAAGATAGAAGTAAACAAGACAGGTGTCGTTCTTTCCCTAACGGAGCTACTGTTTACCAGAGGAGACAGACAACCAAACTCACAACTACAGTTCAATGTAGTGAGGGCTGTGAAAGAAAAAGTATAAAGTGCTATGTGTACACAGCAAGGGCACCAAACCTAAAAGACTGACCAGATTAGGGAAACTGTATTGAATAGGCAAGGAACATTTCTTCAAGTTTCGCCTACCTTCCCACCAACATCCTGAAGAACTATGTTTTCAGGTTTTAGGTCACGATGTATAATTTTGTTTTCATGCAAATATCGAATCCCAGACCCTAAATAAAGTTTAAAATGTATTTAGAGGTAATAGAAAACATGGAGTAAAAAAAAAAAATTCATTTCACATTTTGTACATATCTGCTCTGACACTCAAATTTACATGGACCATCATAACTACGTGACTAATGATAATATAAGGTTACAGCAGTTCAGATTTTCTCCATAGAAAATCCAGTAACATTAATTAATACTTTAGAATTATAATATATACTCAATTAACTAACAAGAATTAACATGAAACAGAAATGAAACAAGCAACTGAGAAAATCCCTATATTTACCCTTATAGCCTTCCCTCTCATTTAAATCACCCTCTTCAACTAGACCTTGGCCCCATGATCTAGAAAAGGAGCACAACCAAAGTATGTAAGGAAACAAATTCTTGGCTTCTGAGCTTCCTCCAAGGGCCTATCAAAACCAAACCCGTTGCCATCGAGTTGATTCCGACTCATAGCGACCCTACAAGGCTGAGTACAACTGCTCCATAGGGTTTCCAAGGCTGTAAATCTTTACGGAAGCAGACTGCCACATCTTTCTCTTACAGAGTGGCTGGGGGGGTTGAACTGCCAACCTTTTGGTTAGCAGCTGAGCACTTTAACCACTGCACCACGAGGGCTCCTTCTCCAAGGGCCTACGTACTGGTTATTTTAGGGATTTTTCAGAAGTAGTTCTGATTAAACAAAGATTTCTACCCTAAGAGCAACTTTAGAACCTATACTCAAAAGAGATGCAATTCTACTGGAAACAAAATTACTATGCTAATGGGGGGGGTAAAAATTAATGAGGTAATTTCACACCATTTTTTTTGTCAGCAATTAGAACAGCTATTAGCCAAGATGGATGCCTAGTCAAAAACAAAAAATAACAAAATATCATAATTTTAATTTAGCATCAATATTAATAGTTAGATTTTTCTGATTTCTTATAGATGTAAAAAAAAAAACCTATGATTTGTGCGATATACCAACCGAACCTCAACCCATTGCTGTGGAGTTGATTTCGACATATAGTGACCCTATAGGACAGAGCAGAACTGCACCAGAGGGTTTCCAATGAGTGGCTGGTGGATTCGAACTGCTGACCTTTTGATTAGCAGCCGAGCTCGGAACCACTGTGCCACCAGGGCTCTAATATACCAGCAGTCCTTAATTCCCAGGTAGTATACAGAATCTTCTATGAACCAAAGGGGCATTAAATTACAATGGTAATTTCATATAGATTACATACCTATATCACTAAGTAAAGACAGTATCTGGCTTTCTTTAAGTCCACAGCAATTTTCTGGTTTGTTGAGTAGCTGAAGAAAAAAAAAGTTAAAAAATGTGTACTAGCAATATTGCTGGGCAACAACAGCTATATACATTAATGACTATGCACTAAGAGAATATTCAAATGACAGAATAAGTCATGATAAAAAAAAAGGGGGAAAAAATGACCAACTCCATACTGAGGACACACAAAATCCACTATGAGCCTTACTCATGACAAGGCTCATAAAAGTAAAGATAAAGGGGGAAAAGTATTTGAGTTTGGAAAAGGTTGAAAAAAGTCTCACAGATATAGATAAAAATAGCCATATGGGAAGATTCAAAGTGAGATGTGAAAAAAAGATTGACAATAGAGAAAATAACTCTTTTATAAGCATCTTAACACAAACATTGACACTTTGATCTAACAACATCAATATAGTCCTTTCTTACAAATAAACAAACAAAAAAATATATGTTCTAAATCAGGGGTTGGCAAACTTTTTCTGTAAAGGGCCTAACAGTAAACACTTCAGGCTACGCAGGCCATATGTCACTATAGCAGGAAAGCAGTCACAGGTAATAAAGAAATGAGCATGGCTGTATTCCAATAAAACTATTTACAAACACAGGTAGCAAGCTGTAATTTTCTGACTCCTGTACTATCATACTGAATGTGATTCTGCTAAAGTACATGATTTACTGTCTCATCATCTCAAAACATCCATACTACCTTCCGAAGATCTCCTCCAGAACAGTATTCCATTGCTAGAAGAGGCACATCATTAATCAAAACATTGAGTTCCTCAGGAACATCACAGGCCTTTACAACATTGGTATGGTTCAACCTAACCAGAAAGGGAAAACATTGTAATAAAAAATTTTCTCCATTGAAAAAGGATTGGGTTTGAAATGATAGTTAATCAGGGGAGGGAGGGTCACTACTTATAATTTCTCACTTACATAAAATAAAATACAGACAAAAATACTATCGCTATTATGCTACCACTATTACATTTCTGTGTCAAGCAGTGTTGTAAGCACTTTACATGTATTAACTCATTTACTTGTCACAATAGTCCTATTACAGGTAGATTAATATTCCCATCACTCATAAAGTTCATTGGTGGTTACCAGGGGCAAGACGGAGGGGAAAAGGGGGATCATTCTTTAGGAAGCATTGAGTATGTGTTAATGGTGATGGAAAATTTGGCAACGGATACAGGGGATGGTTATACACCATGATTAATGTAATCAATGTGACTGAACTCTACCTGTAAAAATGTTGAATTCGCAAATATTGGGTAATATATATTTCTACCACAATAAAAATTTAAAATAAATACTGAACTATACTGTATGTTGTTTTCTAAGTTTTTTTTTTTAACTTAACAATATATCCTCTCCATCATCATCTGGCAGTGGACCTTAAAACTAGAAGTGATTCCTAGGCCCCAGGGACCTAAAGAAACAGAATTTCCAAGTAGCAGTACCTGAATGTCTATATTGCTAATAAGCTTTCTTGGTGATTTTGCCACACAGCCAAATTTGAAACCATTAAAGTGAGTGGAGAACAGACAATGGAGTCAGAAAACAATCACATCCAATTCTGACTCTACGAACTACTAGCTGTGTGAATCTATGAGCTTCAACTTCCTCATCTATACCTTAATATAAAGTTGCCAGGACAATTAGAATTATCTGTAAAGCATTTAGCACACTATATGTAGACTCTTTAAAATATGTCTACAAATTATTTGATATTTCTCCAGTCAAGAACTTAACCCCACTCCCCTTGAGTAACTCATTTCTAACAAACAGAATCTGGTGGAAAGGATGGAGGGCAACTTAAGAGGGTAGGTCACAAAAGACATGGCAGCTTTCATCTTGCTCTTTCCCTCAGTTCCTTTGCTCTGGGGAAAGCTAGCTGTTATGTCATGAATATTCAAGATTCCCTATGGAGAGGCCAATGTGGTGAGGAAGCAATGCCTCTAATAGCCACATAAGTGAGTTTGGATGCAGATACTCCAGCCCCAGTCAAGCCTTTGGATAACTGCAGGTCCAGTCAACATCTTGATATTTATCAGGAGACTCCCCGCCTACCTCTGACCCAGAATTATCCAGCTAAGCCACTCCCAAATTCCTAACCCACGTAAACTATAAGATACTAATGTTTGTTGCTTCAAGTCACTAAGTGTTGGCTTAATTTGTTACGAAGCAGTAGATAAATACACTAACAAAAGCAGGTACAAAAGAAATGGGGTAGTGATTTTTATTTAACTAGAAAGTATAATAGATGGGCATTACCCCAGATCCAGAAGAAACAGATTCACCCTCAGAAAGCTGAGTCTGATAATACCTAGCTTTTTTAAAAAAAAGAAAATTTATTGTGGTGAAAATATACATAACAAAACACATGCCATCTCAACCATTTCTACATTTATGATTTAGTGACACTGATTACATTCTTCAAGATGTGCAACCACTATCGTTATCCTTTTCTAAATTGTTCCACCACTGTTACATAAACTCAGTGGCTCCTAAGCAAAAACTCCCCTTTTCTCTCTCCCTTCCATTCCTGTTAACTACTAATAATCTTTGGTTTCAATATATTTGCTCATTTCATTTAAGTGAGATCATATGATATTTGTCCTTTTGCAACTGATTTATTTTGTTCAGCATGAGGTTTTCAAGGCTCATCCATGTTGTGGTATGTATCATGGCTTCATTTCTTTTTATGGCTGAGTAGTATTCCACTGTGTGTATATATCACATTTTGTTTATCCATTTATCTGCTGATGGAAATTTTGGTTGTTTCCACCTTTTGGCTATCATGAAAAGTGCTGCAATGAACCCTGGTGTACAGGTTTCCGTTTGCGTTTCTGCTTTCACGTCTTCTGGGTATACATCTATGATTGGGATTACTGAGTCATATGGTGTTCTATGTTCACCTTTTTTGAGGAACTGCCAAACTGTTTTCCACCGTGACTGTACCATTTTATATCCTCACCAGCAATGGATGAGGGTTCCAGTTTCTCCACCATCTCACCGATACCTGTTATTTCCCATTTTTTAACCACTGTCATTCTAACAGGCGTGAGGTGGCATCTCATTGTAGTTTGATTGCATCATGGCTAATAAGGAGTCCTGGTGACGCAGTGGTTAAGAGACCGGCTGCTAACCAAAAGATCAGCAGTTCAAATCCACCAGTCACTCCTTGGAAACCCTACGGGGCACTCCTATACGGTTGCTACGAGTCAGAATCGACTCGACAGCAACAGGTTTAGTTTTCTGGTTTAATAGCTAATGAATACCTGACTTTTTAAACTAAACCTTCTTAATCATAATGTAATGTCATTATTTGAAATAGAATGCATATTTAATTAAACAGAGGCAGATATGTTCCCAAGAAGATACTGAGAAGAGCAGATTCCTGGCCTCCTTCCCTATGATGACATCTGGCTGGGCTCTAGGACTGGCGAAATATAAGTCATCAAGTACACTTACTTCTTCATGATCTGGATTTCATGGCACCACCGTTCTCTGTTTTTGGTACTTAGCTCTAGGCGACAAGACTTAATTGCTATCTTATGATGAAGCTCCTGCCAAAATAGAAAAACAACAGAAAGAAGTATAAATTAGGTTCTTGTGTAGATTTGCTTACTATCAAAGAAATGTCAAGCTGGAGGAAAAAAAAAAACTCTTTAGCCTTACTTATTAAGCATATTTATCCACAGCTTTTTTGAGCCACCACTTTTGGTAAGTAGACCACAAGACTATTAAACCAATGATTCAAAACTGACCTTTAAACATACCAACGTACACAAGCAAAAACTGACTGAGGCTGATCATATGGCAGGTCTCCTCAGAACACTGTCTCATATATAAAACCAAAAATAAAACCACTGCTGTCAAGTCGATTGTGACTTATAGCAACCCTATAGGACAGAGCAGAACTGCCCCATAGGGTTTCCAAGGCTGCAAATCTTTATGGAAGTAGATCGCCACATCTTTCCCCCAAGGAGAGGCTGGCTGGTAGGTTCGAACCATCGACCTTTCAGTTAGCAGCCAAGAGCTTAACCACTGCACCACCAGGGCTCCTAGGTCTCATATACAATGCTAGAAAAATACAAAGACCCTGTCTCCCCAATGAACTCCTTTAGTCAAGACAACTAACAAGGGCTCCAGCCTCCAGCACAACTAGAATGAAGAGGATAATTTAGGGGTTCCCTGGCCTCAACCTCAAGAAACAGTTTTAACATGACCAACCCTAATGTAAAAAAAACCTCCAAAATTAGGTACTAATCTTAGCATTTTAAATGACAAGGAAAAAATCCTAACGATGATTGTACTGCAGTTTACATCTATAAGATGAACCTACCAGCTCCTCCCTATGACTAGTAACTTAGCCAATTTTGACTAAAATTAAACCCATCCTGATGCACATTACAGGAACTAGCTAGACCTCAACACATTCAGTACCTACCGGTACCAACAACAGCCCAATCAAGGCCAAAGAGGCTGCACTATGTTTCTGACATCGTGATGAAAGTCCAAAATGACTTCTGAAATGTACAGTCAGACATAAACCAGAGGTGTGGTAAAGGCTATGAATGAATAAAGAGGAAACTGTCCAGGAATTAGGAGAAAAAAAAAAAATTTAAACAAAACTATAGAAGGGGAAGCAATACAAAGCTTGAAAACTGAGATTGTCACAATGAGGGGAAAAGAAGCTAGAGACAAGATAGTCTATGTATACAGAGAAGGAGCCCCGATGGTGTAGTTTGTAAGCACTCGGCTGCTAACCAGAAGGTTAGCAGTTCAAACCCACCTGAGAAAAGATCTGGCAATCTGCTTCCATAAAGATTACAGCCTAGGAAACCCTGGGGTAGTTCTACCCTGTCCTATAGGGTCACTATGAGTTGCACAACAATAACATGTATAGGGAGAGAAACAAGGAAATAGGACAACTATAATCTAGCCTAACTACAATCCTCACTCCCTTCAATCTTTCTTTTGTTATGAGTAGGTGGCTAGTGAAATTATTGTTAGGTGTCCTCAAGTCAGTTCTGACTCATAGCCACAAAGGATGAAACACTGCCTGGTACTGTGCTATCCTCACAAATGTCCAGTGTAAATCTTTACCGCCTCGGAGACAATCTAGTACAGTCATGAACGATGTTCAACCCTAAATTTGCATATGAATGAGGCAGGAAGATATCTGTTTCAAAAAGATCCCACCCTTAAAAATCCTTCAACTACTCTGTGAAGACTTTCCCTACTCTACCTTTTCATAAAGAATGTTCTGTGGACACTTACAGATATCCAGCAACAAAAAAAGTTGTGCTAAAATAAATTTGAAAAATACTAAGTTCTTTACTATGGAACTTCTCAGAGCTCTTAATATGCTAATGTAGGTTATAAATCTCCAAATGAAGGAAGAGTATATGCAGCATTTACCCAATGTATTTATATATTTAGCCACAGTACCCATTTTTCACAGTTATTTCATAGGATGTTTTCCAAACACACTTTCAGAAGTGCTACCCTATTTCCTAGAAAGAATTCTTAGGTTACTATGTCATGTTTCCATATCACTTTGCAAACACCTTCATTATATAGGTTACCACACTGTACTTTGTTTCTGTGTCTATTTCTCTCACTAGACATGAAATCTCCTTGAGGGAAGGGAATACCGTTTTTGTTGATTTTGGCACCAAAAACACCCACACAGTAATAGGCTAAATAAATCATCTCACATCCTTTTTCTCTTCCTCATTGTGCTTTGACAGGTGTAGACGAAATACTGGGACATGGCTTCCATCAAAAATGAGGGTCTTGAAAGCTGTAAATGCAAACCTCAAGTAATGCCTGGGAAAGCAATGATGTTGTTTGCAAATCTTGTGACAGAGTATGTATTCCTTCTCTCCTCAGGTCCAAATGTTAAAGGTCCCAGTTTTGGCGAAGGGTCACTCTGGACAGCTATAAAGTTCCTGAGAGATTTCTGTGATTCTAGAGAGACCCAAGTCTCTTCCATTTAAAAAGTGATGAGTTCATCCAGGCCCAGCCAGGGACCCAGAGAAGAACAAAAGCATGTTAGCATACAGAGTTCTTCTCTTGTGGCCAGGCTGATGTGCAGGCTTAGATAACAAGGTCACAGGTAACATTCTGCTGGAAGCACCTGGTTTCCCCTTTTTTCTCTTTGAGTGCCTTATGTCCCCTCTGATAGTGTGAATTATTAAATTAACTACTTGTCTAGCTATCAAAGTACTTGATGTCTTAGCCATTCATCTTCCATTCTCCTTCTTGCCAAGACTTCCTTCTATGCTGTAATCTATCCATACTGCTGCGATACTGGAAGCTATGCCACCCGTATTACAAATACCAGCAGGGTCACCCCATGGTGCACAGGTTTCACAAGAGCTTCTAGACTAAGACAGACTAGGAAGAAGGACCTGGCAGTCTACTTCTGAAAAAATTAGCCAGTGAAAACCTTACGAATAGCAGCAGAACACTGTCTGATATAGGGCTGGAACATGAGCTCCTAGAGTTGGAAGGTACTCAAAATACGGCTGAGGAAGAGCTGCCTCCTAAATGTAGACCAAAAAAAACCTCACTGCCATAGAGGCAATTCCCACTCATAGTGACCCTATAGGACAGAGCAGAACTGCCCCTTAGCGTTTCCAAGCAGTGGCTGGTGGATTTGAGCTGCTGACCTTTTGGTTAACACGAGCTTTTAACCACTGCAACACGAGCGCTCCCCAAAGTAAGAGTCAACCTTAATAACATGAATGGAGTCAAGCTTTCGGGACCTTCATTTGCTGATGTGGCATGACTCAAAATGAGAAGAAACAGCTGCAAATATTCATTAATAAGCAGAGTGTGGAGTGTATGAAGTAAAAATCTAGGAAAATTGGAAGTCATCAAAAATGAAATGGAACGCATAAAGATCAATATCCTAGGCATTAGTGAGCTGAAATTGACTGGTATTGGCCGCTTGGAATTGGACAATCATATGATCTACTACGCTGGGAATGACAACTTGGAGAGGAATGGCACCGCATTCACCGTCAAAAGAATATTTCAAGATCTATCCTGAAGTACAGCACTGTCAGTGATAGGGTAATATCCATATGCCTACAAGGAAGACCAGTTAATACAACTATTATTCAAATTTACACACCAACCACTAATGCCAAAGATGAATTGAAGATTTTTACCAACTTCTGCAGTCTGAAATTGATCAAACATGCAATCAAGATGCATGGATAATTACTGGTGATTGGAATGCAAAAGTTGGAAAAAAAGAAGAAGAATCAGTAGTTGGAAAATATGGCCTTGGTGATAGAAATGATGCCGGAGATCACATGAAAGAATTTTGCAAGACCAACAACTTATTCATTGCAAATACCCTTTTTCAACAATATAAATGGTGACTATACACACAGACCTCACCAGATGGAATACACAGGAGTCAAACTGACTATATCTGCGGAAACAGATTGAGGAGGCAGCACATGATCAAGACACGATGGTAATGAAGGAAGAAGTCCAAGCTGCACTGAAAGCACTGGTGGAAAAAAAGGCCCCAGGAATTGATGGAATACCAATTGAGATGTTTAAACAAACAGATGCAGCACTGGAGGTGTTCACTCATCTATGCCAAGAAATTTGGAAGACAGCTACCTGGCCAACTGACTGGAAGAGATCCATATTTGTGCCCATTCCAAAGAAATGCGGAAGTTATCAAACAGTATCATTAATATCACATGCAAGTAACATTTTGCTCAAGATAATTCAAAAACGGTTGTAACAGTAAATCGACAGGGAACTGCCAGAAACTGAAGCTGGATTTTAGAAAAGGATGTGAAACAATTATCATTGCTGATGTCAGACAGATCTTGGTTGAACGCAGAGAATACCAGTAAGATGTTAACCTGTGCTTTATTGACTATGCTAAGGCATTTGACTGCGTGGATCATAACAAATTATGGATAACACTGCGAAGAATGGAAATTCCAGAACACTTAATTGTGCTCATGTGGAACCTGTACGTAGACCAAGAGGCAGTCATTCGAACAGAATAAGGGGATACTGCATGGTTTAAAGTCAGGAAAGGTGTACGACAGGGTTGTATCGTTTCACTAATTCAATCTGTATATGGAGCAAATAATCCGAGAAGCTGGACTATATGAAGAAAAATGGGGCATCCGGAGTGTAGGAAGACTCATTAACAACCTGCAATATGCAGAAGACACAACCTTGCTTTCTGAAAGTGAAGAGGACTTGAAGCACTGACTGATGAAGATCAAAAACTACAATCCTCAGTATGGATTGCACCTCAATATAAAGAAAACCAAAATCCTCACAAATGGACCAATAAGCAACATCATGATAAACAGAGAAAAGACTGAAGATGTTAAGGATTTCATTTTACTTGGATCCACAATCAATGTCCATGGAAGCAGCGGGCAAGAAATCAAATGATGCACTACATTGGGCAAAGCTGCTGCAAAAGACCTCTTTAAAGTGTTAAAAAGCAAAATGTCACTTTTAGGACTAAGGTGCACCTGACCCAAGCCATGGTATTTCCAATTACCTCATATGCATGCAAAAGCTGGACAATGAATAAGGAAAAGCGAAAAAGAACTGACGGCTTTGAATTACGGTGTTGACAAAGAATACTGAATATACCATGGATTGCCAGAAGAACCTAACAAGTCTGTCTTGGAAGAAATAAAGCCAGAGTGCTCCTTGGAAGTGAGGATAGAGAGACTCTGTCTCACGTACTTTGGACATGTTATCAGGAGGAACAAGTCCCTGGAGAAGGACATTATGCTTGGTAAAGTAAAGGGTCAGCAAAAAAGAGTAAGACTCTCAATGAGATGGATTGACACAGTGGCTGAAACAATGGGCTGAAGCATAATAACAATTGTGAGGTTGACACATGACTGGGCAGTGTTTCATTCTGTTGTACACAGGGTCGCTATGAGTCGAAACCAACTCGATGGCACCTAACAACAACAGAAATCTGCTTCACAAAATTTCCTCAGTTCTATCAGTGACATTTTAACTGCTCCACAAACATGACTATTCCCTCTCACATAGACTCCCATCTCTCTTTGCTTCCACCTCACAATATGGGCTCTCTACCCACAGCCATGTTCATTAAAACAGCAAATCAGGATTTCTCCTCTTGAGTTCACTTCTTCATTCACAGGCCAAGTGCAGACATTTTAGTAATAGCTTAAGTGCTTATCTTGCCCGTAAGTTTTTCCATTCAAATTCATCTTCTACAAAATAATCTTCCTAGAACACCACTTTTATCTTAACATTTCTTTTAAGGCCAATGACTGATGATGAGGATGATAACAGCAACAACAACACATGTTAGCAGCTAACATCTGAGGGCTTACCATGGGCCAGGCATTGTAGTTTTACATAATCTTATTTAACTCTCAAGCAGATCCATGAAGTATATACATTATTATGCCCATTTTATAGATGACAAAACAAAGGCTATACTGCAGGGATTATTATTCCAGGGTCTATACACCTAAAAGGTCTGTAAATGTGTGTCAGGAGACTGTGAACCTCCTCAAATGGCTATGTCTGTGGTTGTGTGGACGTACATTTTTTGGGGGAAAGGATTCATTGCTTTATTCGAATCTCAAAAGATGCATGACTTGAAGATGATTATTAACTGCTGCTACAATGGTTAAATATTCTCAGTTAAATCAAAATAAAATTCATGAGTCTGATGTTAGCTGCACTCCACCTACAATCTTATCTCCTTCCCTTGTGAAGCCACACTGATCATTTTCACCAGCTTGTCCTCAAACTATTTCCTACCTGAAAGGCATCCTCACCTACAAAGCCTACCCATGTTTCCGAAGGCCTAACTCTAGACCCTCCATGAAGCCCTTCCTTGTCTACTCTGGTCCCTACAGGTATCACACTCACAGGCCTCCAAGCACAAACACGAACATACACATTCCGACAGACAGCCAAGCTTCAGTCCCATTTTCTCACCCATTCCTGCTCACACATACACATTCTGACATTCATCTGCCTCACACACTCTAACACTGTACATTCACAAAGAGACACATAAAAGCACTGTTACACTCACTAAATACCTTGTCACATCTTGCCACTCATACCAAAAGTTACCCCTAATAGCTCTATCTCACACACTGACCCAGGGCCACTATCACACGTTCCTACAGGTACAACATCGGACTCAGTCACCCAAGCTCACAAGCACAATATCACATGCACACACATACCCACTGGCCCACAAGTACTGCCTCAAATTCTCACTGACAATCTCTCCAATACTAATATTCCACAGACGCTTTGACAAACACCAATCATCGCTCCCTTGCGCGCCCCGGCTCACCCGATGCTGGTACAGGCAGACGTTCCCGAAGCCGCCGGTGCCCAGCCGCTCCTGCATCACCCAGGGCCCGCCCGCGCCGGACCGCAGGCCCGGGGGCCCCTCCATGGGGCGGGAGGGCAAGCGTCCTTAGGCACCACTGCTGTTCTAAGGCCGGTTCCGGGACGCCGAGGCTCGCGCGCCTTTCTTCTCGCGAGATATGCGTCACTTCCGGTAACTGGCCTAGGAAAGGCTCCGCCCACGTTGTCCCGCGCCCGGTGGAACCTTTCAGGCGAAAGGGTGGGGTAGGCGTAAGCGAGGAAGGTAAGCCTGGTCGGCTTTCCAAAGGGCCGTGGGTATATTCGTGGCTCAGACCAGTCACGCGTGTTTTTTCCAGTATTGAAAATGTAAGATATCTCCAGATCTTACATTACCTTCAAATGACTTTCCAGTCCCTCCCGTATGCGTTTTTTCAAACTTTAGATTGTTGCCACTCCTATATACACTTATTTCCTCAGACTCCTGCCATGTATCCTCCAACCCAGTCACTCGCTGAACTGGCACTGGCAAAGGCTACCAATGATTTAATTATTAGAGAATCTCAAAAACTAGGAAGAATTCTGCGCTAAAAGGCCCACTGGTTTGCTCCTTAAACGTCCCCATTCTCGATCCCTAATATGTGGCATAAATAGTATACAGACCATAACTAACAATGCACGAATACCAGAAGAGAAACTAGATAACTGGGAACTCCTAAAAATCAAACACTTATGCTCATCGAGACTTCACCAAGAGTAAAAAGAGAACCTACAGACCGGGGGTCGGGGTGTGGATTTTTGGCTACCACATATCCAATAAGGGTCGAATCTAAAATCTATAAGACACTGCAACACCTCAACAACAAAAAGACAAATAACCCAATTAAAAAATCAGCAAAGGATATGAACAGGCACTTCACCAAAGAAGACATTCAGGCGGCTAACAGACACATGAGGAAACGCTCACGATCATTAGCCATTAGAGAAATGCAAATCAAAACTACAATGAGATACCATCTCACTCCAACAAGGCTGGCACTAATCCAAAAAACACAAACTAATAAATGTTGGGGAGGTTGTGGAGAGATTAGAACATTTACGCACTGCTGGTGGGAATGTAAAATGGTACAACCACTTTGGAAAATGATTTGGCGCTTCCTTAAAAAGCTAGAAATAGAAATACCATATGATCCAGCAATCCCACTCCTAAGAATATATCCTAGAGAAATAATAGTCGTCACACAAATAGACATGCACACCCAAGTTTATTGCAACATTAGTCACAATAGCAAAAACATGGAAACAACCTAGGTGCCCATCAACAGATGAATGGATAAACAAATTATGGCACATACATACAATGGAATACTACACAATGATAAAGAACGATGATAAATCCACAAAACATCTCACAACATGGACAAATCTGGAGGGCGTTATGCCGAGTGAAATTAGTCAGTCACAGAAGGTCAAATATTGTATGAGATCACTATTACAAGAACTAAAGAAAAGGTTTAAACACAGAAAAAAGTATTCTTTGATGGTTACGAGGGTGGGGAGGGAGGAGGAGAATTCACTAACTAGATAGTAGAAAAGAATCAACTTCAGTGAAGGGAAAGACAACACACAATACAGGGGAAGTCAGCTAGGAAATTTCCTGGACACATCCAAACACTTTGAGGGACACGGTAGCTGAGGCTGGCGCCTGGGGACCATAGTTTTGAGGAACATCTAGGTCAATTGGCATAACAAAGTTTATTAAGAAAATGTTCTGCATCCCACTTTGGTGAGTGGCATCTGGAGTCTTAAAAGCTTGCGAGCAGCCATCTAAGATGCATCAGTTGGTCCCATCCCACTTGGAGCAAAGCAGAATGAAGAAAACCAAAGACACAAGGAAAATATTAGCCCAAGAAACTAAAGGACCACATAAAACCAGAGAGTCCACCAGCCTGAGACCAGAAGAACTAGATGGTGCCCAGGTAGCACCAATGACCGCCTTGAAAAGGAACACAACAGAGCGTCCCAGATGGAGCAGGAGGAAAGTGTGGAGCAGAGACCAGACTTAATGGTCTGACAGAGACTGGAGGAACTCCTGAAACTATGGCCCCCAGATGCTGTTAACCCAGAACTGAAACCATTCCCAAATCCCACCCTTCAGAGATTAGACAGGAATATAAAACAAAAATTAATACACGAGGAGTGTGCTTCTTAGTTCAATCAGATACACGAGACCAAATGGGTGGCTCCTGTCTGGAGGCAGGGATGAGAAGGCAGGAAGGGACAGGAACTGGTTGAACAGACACAGGGAACCTGGGGTAGAAAGGGGGAGTGTGCTGTCACATCGTGGGGATTGGAATTAATGACACAAAACTATATGTGTATAAATTTTGGTATGAGAAATTAACTTGAGCTGTAAACTTTCACAAAAAAAAAA